CGCATTCCTGGGGCCGGGAGGCCCGAGGCGGCCGGCGGCGTCGATGCGAAGCAGATGGCGGGCCCGGCGGACCCGCCCCGGAGGCGGGGCTCGCGGCGGGAGGGGTCTGCGCGCCTCACCGATTTGGGAGCCCGCGCGCGGCCCCCTTACAGCCCCTTGTCTGCGGCGGCCGCCGAGACCCCGGACTCGGCCCGGGCCCGCGGCCCCTCTCCGGCCGCCCGCCCGTGCGGCGCCCCCACGAGTGCAGATGCCCTTGGCCTCGCCGCGGCCTCTGGCCGGTCCCGACCCCTGTTCACACGCCTGGCGCCCTGTCCTCGGTACTTCGTCCTTCGCACAAGCTCCCAGGCCCGCCGACCTCGGGCAGGGCCCGTCCGCTGCCTGTCCACGCCGGCTCCCCAGCCGGCTCCTGTGCCCTCCGGTGCCGCTCCGCCTCTGCGCGGCCCTTCGCGCTCCCAGGATCCCCACCTGGGAGTCCCCGGGGCTCCCACATCCTCCAGGCCCTGCGCCTGTCATGGCCTTTTCGACTCCGGCTTCTGGCCCACTCTGAGCGCCGGCTCCGCCGAGCTCACCCCGTCACCACCCCTCCCATCGCGCCCGCTCTTCCCGAGTCACGAATCTGTCTTTCCAAGTCTCGCCTGCCCCGAGCCCTCCCGCTCCCACCTCCCGGGAGCGCCGCTCTCCTCCCCCGGCCCTCCGCACTGCACCCCAGGCTCTGGTCGCACTCGCGCCCGCCCTTCGCACATGCTGTTCCTTCTGCTTGAAATGCCCTTCCCTGGCTCCTCCCTAAGGCCTTCACAACTCAGCCACAGGGGCCCTTTTTCCGGGTCTTTCCTGAAACCTCGGACACTGTGTGTCACCCCTCTGGGTGCCCACGTCACTCTGTTCTCGCCTCAGGTGGCTTGTGGTCCAGGGTATCCTCGGATACACTGTCGCGGCCCAAACTCGGCCTGGACCGGCGGCGGCGAGGGCGTCCGAAGGGCCGCACGCCCGGCACAGGCAGGTCCCGGGAGCCCCCAACGCCGGGCGCCGGCGTCGCCTCCCCAGAACGCCCCTCGCGGCCCCCGCCCCGCCAGGCCGGGCTCCTACCCAGGCGCGCGGCACACGTTGCGGCCGCGCGGGTTCAGCTCCTGGGGCGCCGCGGGGCCGGGCAGCAGCCAGAGCAGCAGCAGCAGCGGCGGCAGCGGCGGCGGCGCCCCCGGGCTCCGGCGCCGCGCGCCCGGCCCCCGGGGCCCAGCCGCCTCCATGCGGCGCGGGCGGGCGCGGGCGGGGTGGGCCGCAGCGAGAACGGCCGGAAGCGGAGTGCGAGGCCGGGCGGGGGGCGGCAGGAGGGGCGCCGGGCCGGGCAGGAAATTCCACATCGGCTCCCTGATCCCGGGCCAGCCGCGGCCGGCCAGGCGGCAGCGCCCGCCCCGCGCGCCAGACCCACCCTCCGCCGCGCCGCCGCCCTCCGCGCGGCCCCGCCCCACGCGCCGCTGGCGAACTTGGGGGCGGCCCGCCGAGCGCTGGGGGCGGGAGGGGCCGGCGGGCCTGGCCGAGGATCCCCGTTTCCCGCGCCTTTCCCTCCGTCCCCAGACGTCCCCCCCAGAAGATGCCCCTGTGCGCTCTCTGCGCGGCCAGGCTCGGGGCGGGAAGGGGGCTGGGAGACACGGACGCGCCCCCCCAAGCGCTCTCCGCGCCGGCACCTCGGAACCGGCCAGGGAGCCTCCGGGTGGCCCGCAGACGGCCCGTGGAGGCCGAAGGCCATCTCTGCAGCCCTCAGAGCGCGAAGCCCTCGGGGCGCTGGAGTGTGCCCTCGACTCCTCCCGCGCTGGGCGCAGTCAGGCGCACAGGCACGGGCTAGGCAGGGTGCTTGAGGCCTGTGGTAGACTCGATTTGGACCAGCGGCCCGGGAAGGGGCCCCCATGGACATGGCTGGGAGAGAAGCCTGGAGGCAGAATGGCCCAGCTGTGGACTCTGATAGAACGGGGAGGTAAAGGAAGAGCGAGGGCCCCTGGGACTGAAACCCTGCAGTCCTCACCAAGGGATGAGGAGGCTGGGACCCTGGGAGATGGGTTCTACTGAAGGCGGCTGTGGGATCTCCAGAGGAAAAGGTCCAGAAGGTGAAGTCAGGACTGGAGAATGGGAACCCCTGCATCAGGCAGGGTGGGTGACAGCACAGAGCAGAGGGAAAAGGAGGTGCCACCATGGAAGAGGAGGTGCCACACGGAGTGTGCCAGGGAGCAAGTGGGAACTGGGGCTGGGAAGCAGCAAGGTGCTGGGCCCTCTGGCAGGTGCAGACCCAACCTTAGGCCCAAGCAGCAGGAAGGTTGGGCAGAAGCACAAACAGCTCCTGTGTGCAGCCAGGTCCCCGCAAGGATGTGTTTGTCCTTTGGGGACTCAAGAGCTGGCAGAGGGCCCGAGCAGGAAGAGGGCACCGGTCTTCTTGGCGTCACAGGCTGCAAGCAGCTGGATGCTCACTGAGGATGGGCAGGCAGAATCTCTTGGGATGTGGCAGGCCAACAGCCATGAAGGGTGGGCTGGAGGAGGGATCTTGGGACAGGAGCCACTGAAAGGCTTCCAAAGCCATGGGCATCACCAGGCTGGCAGGGAAGAGGGTGGGATGGAGAGAACAGGGTGGGAGCTTGTGCCGTGCTGGTGCAGAGGGAGGTGAGGTGGGCTGGAAGGGAAGTTGAACTAGTGTGGTCGCAAATGCAAACACTTCTTAGGGACAAGTAAACAGGCCAACCACCTCTGGGCAGATCAGCCTGGACACAGCCCTGACCCCAGCAGTGCCCTCCCAATGCTGGAGGCCCCTCCCACAGAGGCTCCCAATGGCCGTGACCAACAGAGGCCAGCAGAGGTCCCTGTGGCAAATGTCTGTCCCAGCCCAGCTCCAGGATTTAGAAGCACTGACCCCCTGGGCTGGAGGGGGACACTCACCTGAGCTGACCCAAGTGCATGAACAGGTGCCTCAAGCTCCACCATCTTCTTTCCCCTTCCCCTAGAAGTCCCCCACCCCACCCCTACAGGAAGGGCACCACCTGCATGATGGCCCACCATACCCACCACTGGGACCTCTGAAATGTCTCAAATCTCTACCCACCCATCTGTGTGCCACTCGGGCTTTCCAAACTCACACCTGTGTGCCACTTGGGCTTTCCAACCTCACACCTGGCTGCCCCACTGCCCTCGGGAACAGGACCATCTCCAGCTGCATCTCACTCTCACCCTGTGCACACGTCCCATCCCTCAAGGTAGATGGCAACGTTGGGTGTCATGGGAGGACCCTCATCTGTCCCAGCCACTGCCACAGCCCTAGTGGGAGACTGAGAAGCTCGGGGGATAGAAGGGTGGTGCATGTGGCACCAGGTGCGCCCAGGGTGAAGGGTGGGTTCACAGGCTCCCATACGACTGACCCCAGGAGGCAAACTGCAGGGGCCAAGCCCTGCCACTAGTTCTGGCGGGGATGGCTGCCTGAGGGAGGTGGGCCTCAAAGGGTGAGGAGGATTTTGCATGACAGCAGGGCCTGAGAGGCACCACGGGGGAGCGCCTGGCTGGGGTGCCTCAGCCCAGGGCGAGGAGGTGGTGTGGCCATGTAAGCCGGGCTGGGGCTGAGGCTGTGTCCAGCTCCCGGGCCCCTCCCTGGGCTGTGCAGGACCTCAGTGGGCCCTTCCCGTCCCCTGCAGACCAGAGGGCTCCTGCAAGCTAGTGGCTGGGCCTGGTGGCTTGGGCAGGGAGACGGTGCCAGCAAGCTCGGGACATACTGGAGAGAGTGGTGGGGCATTTCTGGTGTTCCTCCCTTCCAGAAAGCTTTGGGGTCTGCAGGAACTAGCTGCAGAGACACAGGAAGTGCTGGGCCTGAGACCCAGAGTGGGGTTCCCACTTTGAGCCCATGTTCTCTCTGGGGAGATGACACTGGAGGGTGTGGCCATGCTGCTCCACTGGAACCGACCCACCGAGGGTTGACAATGGGCCTGCTGCCTGAGGTGATGTCGCATTTCCTCAGGGTGCCCAGGACAGTGAGGAAGGTCACACACATGGTTGAGAGGAACACAACTCCGAGGGCCTCACCTCTACCCCACAGTCCCTGGAGTATCCTGATGGGAAAGCCCAGAGCGACGATGGCCTGCTCTCCCCATCCCGTCCTCCCATCAAGGAGCACTACTGCCCCTGCCCTCCTCCCTTCCATGACAGGGTGCCACCAAAACGACGGGGGTTGTCTCCACATCCCACCCAGTCGCCTAGGGGAGGACGGGGCCTCAGGAAGTTCCCGCCCTGTGGGGTTGCTCCCTGCAGGAGACCCACAGGCAGAGTCTGAGGGTGCAGACCCCACGTCAGACAGGAGGGGCAGGTGTTCAGGTGGAAAGAAGCTTCCTGCGGCCTGGCAGTGTGGTGAGGTTGGTGTGGACCCCCTGCGTATCCGTGTGGGGCGCAGGCTACGTCTGGTAGCCCCAGGAGTGTGGAAAAAACACTGGTAAAGGTGGACAGGGTAGGGTCCCATCTGCTGTGCCAGTGTGGGCCTTGAGACAGGTGCCTAAAAGGTCACCTGATAAGCCTGTAGGAAATGCAGGTCAGAGGGCACAGGTAGCAGGGCCACCCTTCCCTCGAGGCCTGTGTCTCACACGCCCCTCCCCTGACACCATCTCCCCTCCCCTGGAAGCCAAGACTCCCAGTCCCTGACACTCATGCTGGCGATTTACTTGGGGCCGAGAAATTTCTAACTGGAGCTGGACTGAAAATTCAACAGCTGCTTTGGTTGGGGGAGAATTCCACACCAAAGCAGATGCTCAAACAGACTGGGTGACCCCCTGTCACCAGACTTGGTGGCTTCCAGGTCTCCTGGTGACTTGGGGAGTTTACTGTTCTTCGCTCCCGGGCAGGGTCGTGGCCTGCCGGTACCATTCAGCCCTGGCCTTGCCTCCCACACCACAGCCTGTCCTTCGCGGCAGCTGTGACCCCAGACACCTGCACTTCTTGGGGACCTGCTGTGTAGAGAGCAACTGAGGCTGTGGCCACAGGAAAACAGTTAACACCTTTTGTAAGATGCTTTATTTCATTTATCAAGATCATGGAGTCGGAAAAACCCAGCGGTTTGGGGTCTTGGTCTTTTTATCACTAGAACAGTTCCAGGCAAGTTTATGTATCTTTGCTCCCTGCTGCCCCCGAGGGGAGCCCTCAACCTCTCAAGCCCCAGCTGCTCACCCAGCCCCACCCCATTCAGAAAGAGGGATGTGACCTGCCTCAGGCCTCCAAGCCAGGGCTGCCAGTTCCCAGGTCCCTTTGGGGAAGGGACCTCCTCAGCCCTCCAGGGAGGAAGAGAAGGCTGAGCCAGCTGGTGACCTGTGAGCCCTCTTAGGGCTCACTAAGCAGGGCGGGGCCTGGTCAACTCCTTCAAGGACCAAAGCCTTTCAGGAGGATTTTCCACTGTAATGTAATCCACAGCTACAATCTGCCTGGGCCCTGCAGACACCCGCGGCCTAGGGGCTTGTGTGAAGAAAGGGGAAGGGGCCAGCCAGCCATGAGTGCCAGGGCAGGGCCCCTGCCCCAAAGTAAAGTGCTCCAGCCTAGGCCACGGGGGCTTCACGGCCATGGCAGCCCTACCACCCTTCCCTCTGACACCAGGCACTGGAAGCCTAGTCCTCACTGGAGTTGTCAAACTCCTCCCAGTCAGACACACTCATCACCTCGGAGGCGAAGTCTGGGTCAGCCTGGCTGCGGTCAGGGGTCCCTCGGGGCGGCTCGAGCAGCAGGGAGCGGGGCAGGGTGAGCACGCAGGCTGCCAGGCCTGAGATGGAGTTGTCCAGCTGGGGCCCCTCTTCCCAACAGTCCTTCTCCACGTCGTAGATGTGCACGTAGCCTGTGCGGCTGCCGCGGTTGTGAGAGCGGCCACCCAGCACGTAGATCCTGTTGTCCAGAACAGCAATGCCAGGCTCGCCGTGCCCAGCTGGGAGTGGGCAGACAGATGACCACTGCCCGGATGTGCAGCTGTAGCAGGCCACCTGCAAAGCCAAGGCCAGAGTAAAGCCCAGTACCTGCTGGGAAGGGGCAGCCAGCTGACCAGGGTGGCCTTGGTCCCCCACCACTTTCTGATAGGCTGCCCCCCACCCAACGCCGGAAGCATAGTGCAGGGCTAGCTTGGAACTCTTTGCCCATGGGCGGGGCTGATGCTGTATTACCCAGAGATGAACTGGTCTGCAGCAGACCAGCCTCTGGCCCCCATGTCCCCCATCAGCATGAGGCCGTTTCCATGCTCTGGGGGTACTGCCTCTCTCCCCTCCACAAGACCGAAGGTTCCTGAGGACGTGGGCCCCACTGAAATGTCTTTAGCTCCCCACAGCACCCAACTCCAGGGTGGGGGTGGGGTAGGCAGAAGGTGTTAGTAGTTCTCTCGTTTTCACAATTATCCAAAACAGTAAAAAAAAAACATGGAAAAATGTTCAACTTACTAGTAATCCAAGAAATGTAAAACCAAAATGCTAGGGACAAATTTTCAACTATTAACTTAGCAACCACTGGGAGAAGAAAAATCACAAAGCCCAGTGCTGGTGGAAGTGTGGTAAAGCTATAGTACTGTGTACCTGACAGATCAGGACAGGAATTTGGCAATGTGTATTAAGAGCCACAAAAATCTTGTCTTGTTGACTGATTAATCACTTTTGGTTCTCCAGCTGTGGTAGGCAGAATAACAGCCCCGAGACATCCAGGCTCTAATCTCTGGCACCCCCAAACAGGTTACTTTACTGGCAAAAGTGACTTCGGAGATGGGATTAATGGGACAGACCCTGGGGTGGGGCTGTTATCCTGGATGGATATCCAGGTGGACCTACCCACTCCCATAAGCCCTCAAAGTGGAAGGCAAAAGCCAGACAGAGGGAAAGTGGTAGCCTCCAGAAGCTGGGAAGGGCCTTCAGCTGACAGACAGCAAGGAAACAGGCCGCAATCCCACAACCATTAGGGAGTGAATTCTGCCATCAACCTGAGGGAACCAGGACAGATCCCCCCAGGGCTCTACAAAGGAAGGATGCCCTGATGACAACTTGATTTTAGCGTGGCGAGATCCATGTTGGCTAACATGTGATCTATAGAATTGTAAGAGTAAGTTCATGCTGTTCAAGTCACAAAGCTCGTGATGACTGGTTACAGCAGCCTGGAGGTTCTCACCACCCCAGATCGCCAAGCCCCACCCCCCAGAGCTTCGGAAGCAGGTGGGGCCTGAGAACCTGCATTTGTAACACAGGGTTCCCAGGTGACGTGGGTGCTGCTAGTCTGGGGACCACGCTTTGCGAATCACTGCATGAACCAAAGGAAATAATCCAAAATACCTGAAAAGCTCTGCAAAGCAAATATTACTTATCATCTTATTTGGAATAAATAAAACTTAGACCAAGCAAAATGAAGCATCAGTCTGATGGAATACTCCTCAGCCATGGGGGGGGGGGCAGGGAGAGTTGTGAAGATCAAGTGTTACACTAGAAGACTGTGGCTCACATCTATAATCCCAACACTTAATGGAGGCATAGGTGAGAGCATCGCCTGAGGCCAGGAGTTCAACACCAGCCTGGGCAACAGCAAGACCCTTGTCTCTACAAAAAAATTAAAAAAAAAAAAAAAAAAAAGGAAAATGTCCAGGACAGACATCAGTTGAACAGAATGTGATGATGCTTTTTGATAATTAGGCAGAAAACATGCAAAGGTAAAAAGATTGTAAAATAGTGCTGCAGGGGCCCAAATATGAGTGATTTTCCTCACCTTCATCTATATTTTAGAGGCTCTGCAATGTGGTTATATGAACTTTATAACAAATGTCTGTAATTTAAAAAAAGGCACCAGTGAAACTATTCTATGTGATACTATTATGGTGGATCAATGTCATTATTCATTTGTCCAAACACACAGAATATGCAATACCAAGAGTGAGCCTAGGCCGGGCGTGGTGGCTCACACCTGTAATCCTAGCACTCTGGGAGGCCGAGGCGGGTGGATAGCTGCTCAAGGTCAGGGGTTCAAAACCAGCCTGAGCGAGACCCCATCTCTACCAAATATAGAAAGAAATTAATTGACCAATTAAAAATATATATGCCAAAAAAAATTAGCCGGGCATGGTGGCGCATGCCTGTAGTCCCAGCTACTTGGGAGGCTGAGGCAGCAGGATTGCTTGAGCCCAGGAGATTGAGGTTGCTGTGAGCGAGGCTGACGCCATGGCACTCTAGCCCAGGCAACAGAGCAAGACTCTGTCTCAAACAAAACAAAACAAAACAAAACAAAACAAAACAAAACAAAACAAGCTGGGAGGGATGAGAATGATGATATGTGTGGGCAGCCCTGGCCAACTCACCTGGTGCACATCCCTCCTGTAGCCAGCGTCATTGTTGCTGCCCCCAATCACATACAGCTTGTCGAGGAGGGTTGCCATGCCGTGCCAGGCACGCCGCACAGGCCCATCAGCCAGGTTGTGCCAGGTGTTGCTGCCTGGGTCATAGCAGTGTGTCTCTTTCAGGTAGTCCTCCCCTCTGCGGCCGCAGGTGACATACATCTTCCCCTCCAGTGTCGCGCCTGCATGGGCATACACCTGTGTGGAGACACCAAGAGAACTGAGGCAAGAAGGCAGTGAGGAAGGGCAGCCAGGCAGCCTCTGCTAAGGCCACTCACCGCCCCACACCTGCCTGACATTCCTGACAATGCTTCAAGTCTTCACTACTTCCCACTTCCTCCTCACATGGTGACAAGAATGCTCCCTAGATTCTTGCTGGACATACTGTCCCTAGTCATTGACCTCTGACCTCTTCCCAATAGGGGATGAATCTACAGACCTAGAGATCAAAGGCAATCTTTGTCCCTCCTTTGCCCCTAAAGGGAATATGTGCATGGGGGAATGCGAAGAAAACCAAAGCATCCTTTTCAGAGCCAGCCAGGCAGGAGGCCACAGCACTCTGGGACCACTGTCACCCTTTGTAACCTCCAACCTCCCTTATTCTCACTGGTCAGGCAGTCCTCTAGGCCTGCTGTCCCTGCTTTCAAAATTTGTTTGCAAACAGTATCTACTGACACAAAACTCATGATGTGGGGAGGAAAAGGGTGAGTCGAAAACACAAAAACACTGCCACTTTAGTGACAGTGTGTGGGGGAGGAGAATATACACTGCTCTTGATGGTGGTCCTCAACTGTCTGTAGGCCGTCTACACCCCCTCTGGCAGCTTTCTCTGCAGGGCCCAGCCGTACACCTGTCACACCAGCCCTGTATCTCCAGGACCCATCCATTCATACCCAGTAGGCCACAGAAGGCCCCAAGGCAAGGCTTGGGTATGTGGGGGGAGAGGAGCCTTTCACGGTGTGGAGGCTCCAGAGCAATGTCACCAGGTCAGTCGCTAACACTGAGGCTGTGTGGGTGGCACAAGAGGCTAGGGAGGAGAAGAGGGCAGCAGCCAGGCAGGATACACACCGAGTATTTGGGTCTTCTCTCATTGATGGCAGTGGTCTGGGGAAGCATTTTCCTTTATAATTAAACTTTTCATTGTGAGGTAAGTGTAGTTGAAAGAAATAATACAGAAATCTTATGTGTTCTTTGTGCAGTTTCCCCCAATGGCAAGAGCTTATATAGTTATATCACAATATCATGATGCTGACATTGACACTGACAAAGCCACAGAACATTTCAATCACCACTAGGAGCCCTGGGTTGTCCTTTTGGAGTCATACTCACTAACCTCCCTGCCCCAACCTCCCTCCTTAAACCTTGGCAATCACCAATCTCTTCTACATTTCTACAACTGCATCATTTCAAGAGTGCTATATGAATGAAATCAGTACATAACCTTTGAGACTGGCTTTCTGCCCAAATCCAGGTTCTTCCAAGTTGCTGCATATGCAGGTTGCATACGTCCAAAACCAGAATCTTTTTGAACCACCAACATGGCAAAGAAAATGCTCATTGGAGCATTTCAAATTTTTGGATTAGGAATTCTGAATTGGTAAATATAATGGAAATATTCCAAAATCTGAAACTCAAAACATTTCTCCTCTCTAGCATTTTGGGTAAGGGATACTCAACCTGTACCAATGGCTGGTTACTTTTTATTGCTGAGTAGTATTCCATGTGTACTGACCACAGCTTGTTTAACCATTCATCTGCTGAAGGCCATCTGATTTGTTTCCAATTTCTGGCTATTACCAATAAAACTGCCATTAATATTCATGTACAGGGAAGCTTTCATCTCTCTGGAATAAATACCCAAAATGGTAACTACTGGGTCACATGTAGTTGGAAGAAAGTGCCAAACTCTTTTCCAGAGTGGCTGTATCATTTTACATTCCCACCAGCAATGCAGCATGAGTGATCAGTGTCCTTGCAGATTCACCAGCATTTGGTGTTGTCACTACTTTTTTTTTAGCCATTCTCATAGGTAGTTCTCTAGCTGTGGCTTTAACTTGCACTTCTCTAAGGGCCAGTGATGTTCACATCTTCTCATGTGTTTATCTGCTATCTGTAGATCCTCCTCAGTGAAATGTCTCTTCAAGTCTTTTGCCCTCTTTATAATGGGATTAATATTTGTATGTGTTTTACTGATGAATTTTAAGAGTTCTTTATATATTAGATACCTGTACTAGTCTTTTGTTAGATATGTGGCTTGCAAATATTTTCTCTCACTCTATAGTTTCTTTTTATCCTTTTAACAGGGTCTTTCTCAGAACAAAAATTTTTAATACTAATGTGGTCCAACCTACCAATTTTTCTTTTTAATGGCTTGTGCTTTGGGGGACAAGCCTAAGAACCCTTTGCCTTAGTCCTAGATCCTGAAATTTTTCTTCTTTTATTTTTTAAGAGACAGGGTCTCACTCTGTTGCCCAGGCTAGAGTGTAATGGCATGATCATAGCTCACTGCAGCCTGGAACTCCAGGGCTCAAGCAATCCTCCTGCCTTGGCTTCTCAAGTAGCTAGTACACCACCACATCTAGCTAATTTTTAAGTTTTCTTGTAGAGACAGGGTCTCGCTATGTTGCCCAGGCTAGTCTCAAACTCCTGGCCTCAAGCGACCCTCCCACCTCTGCCTCCCAAAGTGCTGGGATTATAGGGATTAGCCACCATGCCCAGTCCTATTATTTCTTTCATCAGCATTTTATTGTATTCAGCATACCACTCTTGCGTTTTGTTAGATTTATATCTAAGCATCTCAATTATTTGAGCTATTTTATTTTATTTTTGAGACAGAGTCTCGCTTTGTTGCCCAGGCTAGAGTGAGTGCCGTGGCGTCAGCCTAGCTCACAGCAACCTCAAACTCCTGGGCTCAAGCAATTCTCCTGCCTCAGCCTCCCGAGTAGCTGGGACTACAGGCATGAGCCACCATGCCCGGCTAATGTTTTCTATATGTATTAGTTGGCCAATTAATTTCTTTCTATTTATAGTAGAGATGGGGCTTTGCTCTTGCTCAGGCTGGTTTCGAACTCCTGACCTCGAGCAATCCGCCCACCTTGGTCTCCTAGAGTGCTAGGATTACAGGCGTGAGCCACCTCGCCCGGCCACCTGAGCAATTTTAAATTGTATTGTATTTTAATTTCAGTGCCAATGTGTTCATTGTTAGCACATACAATATGTGATATATATTATTTATGTATATAGAAATATAATTTTTGTATGTTTATCTTGTATCCTATGATCTTGCTGAACTCACTTTACTAGTACTAGGACTTTTTTTTTTTTTTTTTGGTTGATTCCTCTAGATTTTTGACAATTATGTCATCTGAAAATAGGGTCAGTTTTATTGCTTCCTTTTTAATTTGCCTGCCCTTGTTTTCTTTTCTTGCCTTATTTCATTGGCTAGAACTTCCAGTACTATGTCAAATAAGAGTAGTAAGAGCAGATCCTTGCCTTGTTCTCAATCTTAGGGAGAAAGTATTTGATTTAGTCTTTCATCATTAAGTATAGAGTTAGCTTTAGGTTTTTTGTAGATGCTCTTTATCAAGTTGAGGAAATTCCTATTAATTTTTGAGACTTTGGTCATGAATAGATACCAAATATTACCAAATGTTTTTTCTGCATTGCGTGACATGAGCATATGATTTTTCTTCTTCAGCCTATTAATATGGTGGGTTACACTGATTGAATTTCAAATACTGAAACCAGCCTTGCATCTCTACAATCTATCCCATTTGGTCATGATGCTTTGTTTTTGCTAATTCTGTTTGCTAATATTTGTTAAGGATATAACAAGGATATGTCTATATTTATGAGGGACTTGTAATGTTTTGGGCACTGTCTGGTTTTGATATCAGAGTAATATTAACTTCCTATGATGAATTGGGAAGTATTTCTTCCTTTTATTTTCTGGAAAAAATTATGCAGAATTTGTGTTAACTTCTTTAAATATTTGGTAGAACTTTCCAGTAAAACCATCAGGGCCTGGACATCACATTACATTTTGGGAAGTTCAATTTCCTTAATAAGTATAGAGCTATTCAAAATGATTTTCTTTTTTTTTTTTGTATTGAGTGAGTTATGGTAGGTTGGGTTTTTTAAAGAATTGGTTCACTATATCTAAGTTGTCAAATTTATGCTATAGAATTGTTCATACTACCCCAATATCCCTTTCATGTCTGCAGGGTTTGTAGTGATGTCTCCTGTTCCATTCCTGATATTTTTTAATGGTATCTTTTCTTTTTCGTCAGTCTTGCCAGAGGTTAGTCAATTTTATTCATCTTTTGAAAGAACCAGTTCTTTGTTTCATTTTTTCTATTTTGTTTGTCTGCTTTCAATTTCATTGGTTTTCACTCCTTATTATTTCTTTTTTCTGCTTGCTTTGGGTTTATTTTCCTTTTTTCTTCTAGGTTTTTGGGGTGGGAGCTTATATTATTGATTTGAGACCTTCCATCTTCTGTAACATATGCTTTTACACTACAAAGTCCCTCTTACTACAGCTTTAGCTGTGCCCTACAAATTATGACATGTTGTTTTTATTTTGATTCAGTTCAAGGTATTTTTATAATTCCCTTTTGACCCATGGACTGTTCAGAAGTGTGTTGTTTAGTTTTCAAGTGTTTGGAGATTTTCCTGTTATCTTTCTGCTAGGGATTTCTAGTTTCAGTCCATTTTGATCAGAGAACACATCATACGATTTCAACTTTTATTAAAGTTTGTTTCCCATTGGAGTTTCCAGGTGATAACCTCTTTAGTTCCAAGTCTGAGATAGGTAAGTTAAAAAGGAAACCCAAGGAACACACTACTGTGTTGTTCTTCAGGTCCCAAGCCCTCTAGCTGCTCTACCTTCTTCTCTCAACCTTTCAGGGTCTTATATTTGTTTTACTAAGAATGCCCAGAGTTTTCAGTTGTATTTATCAGGAGGGACAGGGAAGAATGTATCTATTCTACCTTCTTGGAAGCACAAGTTCTCTGAGGAAGTTTTTAAGTGAGAAGAGAAGGGACTCCCTGTAGAGACCTCCTTTCTGTCATCTGGAAGGACAAGAAGGCAACACTCAACTTTGGGCCAAACAGAGGAAGAGCCTATGACCAGAGGACTCTGCTTGATGCTATAGCAGGGAGCTCACAGCCTGTGGAGGCATGTCAGTGACCAGTTCTTAATGACACATTGGTGGGGTCAAACATGGTGGTTCATGCCTGTAACCCCAGCAATTTGGGAGGCCTAGGTGGGAGGATTGCTTGAGGCCAAGAGTTGAAGACCAGCCTGGGCAAACAGAGAAACCCCATCTCTATAATTATTTTTTATTTATTTATTTTTTTTGAGACAAGAGTCTCACTCTGTTGCCCGGGCTAGAGTGCTGCGGGGTCAGCCTAGCTCACAGCAACCTCAAACTCCTGGGCTCAAGCAATCCTACTGCCTTAGCCTTCCGAGTAGCCGGGACTACAGGCTTGCACCACCAGGCCTGGCTAATTTTATATATATATATATATATATATTTTTTTTTTTAGTTGCTCAGCTAATTTTTAACTATTTTTTTAGTAGAGACAGCTCTTGCTCTTGCTCAGGCTGGTCTCAAACTCCTGAGCTCAAATGATCCGCCTGCCTCAGCCTCCCAGAGTGCTAGGATTACAGGTGTGAGCCACCGTGCCTGGCTGCCCATCTCTATAATTTAAAAAAAAAAAAAAAAAAAGGCAAGACACATTGGTGGGACCTGCATTACAGGAGTCCCTGAGAACCCAAGTGAAAGAGTGTGACATATCGATAAGGCCACGTGACAGCCTTTTCCTTCAGTTAATCACTGTCTGGGCATGGGTTCTGAGCTGGCAATATGGGTCTGCACCCTCAATAGTCTGTGCAGACACCCTAAAGATTCCCTATGGTGGCTGTATGTCTGCCTTACCCCAGGACCCCTCTGCTCCTAGGAGGATACAGGTCTCCTACCTACCTCCCTGGCTGCTCCTTTACTGACTGACCTTTCACTGTCCTTGTTCCTCTGAGCCAATCACAACCATCACCATGGCCAAATTATCATCACATGCTGCCGAATCTGTCACATTTCTATCTCTAGTCTGAACCTTCCCCTGAGCTTCAGACTTCTCGTGTCAAACTGACACCACCAGTTGGATGTCCCCAGCACCTCACATTGCTCATGTTCTAGATGGAACCTTTCCTTTTACTCCCAAGCCCATCTGTCCTCTTGGTAAAGGGCCTAGCCATCCACCCAAGTGCTCACTTCCATGATCTAGCCCTTTTCATTCCCTAACATCTGATCGATCAGCAAGTATGGTCGGTTTACCTCCAAAGTACACCCTGAATCTGCCTATCTCCCATCTCCCCCATCTCCACAGGGGCACCCCAGCACAGGCTCCCACCATCTTCTGCCCGGACCCTGTGATAGCCCAGGGGCTGCCCTGCTAGCTCTGCTCTTGCTCCTCAGACCTTCCTCTCCTCACTGGCATCCACCACGCGCCCCCTCCTGCCCTGGAAGGTCCTTCCTCTGCAGATGGCCGTCTGTCTTCCTGTAGGGCTCAGTCTAACTGACATCTCCTCAGGTGGACCCTCCCCAAATAGTCCCCCTGGATCCTTCCTGCCAGAGCCTCCTCCTGGAAATCCTTCAGTTCAGTTCCCTCTTCGTTTCCTTCATCCCACTTACCACAATTGTGACCACTTTACTGATTTGTTTGGTGGTTAAGAGTGGTCTCTACTGCAACGGTGTTCTCTGCAATGGTGACCTCTCCACCATGGGGGTGGTCCTTTGTCATTTCTTGTCACCACTTGGCACATGGTGCTGAGTAGTTACTGAAGGAATGCATGCATGCATGCAGGAACACTGTGCTGGTTGAAGGCCAAGCCTGCCCCTCTGTGGCCAAGCTGGAGAACTGCAGCTTCCTCAGCAGCCCCAAAGAAACAACTCAAGCCCCTCCCCCCCATCTGCCCAGGAGGCACCCCCTCACCCTCACCCTTTGTGACTCCTGGAATGGGATTCAGGAACCCTCCTTGTCCACCATGTCACAAGGATCCCCTGGTCTTTGCCATGTAAAATCAGGATCAGGGTAGAGAATGTTCCTCTACCAAAAAGGCTTCCTTCTCCCCAAGAAGCTGAGAAGCAAGGAGCAGGCCACAGCTCACAGCTGCCTACAAGACAAGAATCTGTGTGGGCTGTGGGAGTGACTCAGATGACCTGGGTGGAGATGAGCCTCACCCACCAGGGAGACACCTACTCAACCTCCTGAAGTCAAGCCTGTCCCTAGGGGCCTTGGGGAAGGGTAGGAGATAGTGGAAAGAGGTTCACAAAGGCCAGAGCTCTTGCCAAGCTCCCTGAACAAGTCCAGGCAAAGCCTGGGACCATGTCTGCATGTGTGGCCTCCACACGATCCTCTGCCTCTGGGATGCTCAGGGATCCCCGAAGGAGTGCCTGGCCAGTAGCAGGTACTCCCAAATACCATGCCAGTATTAGCAGGGCACATACCCTGTTCTCAAAGGCTGAGACCAGGGAAGTGGGGGGCCACCAAGGCCTTTACCTTCTCTGGGATCCCATGTCTGATTTTTGCACCAGGTCCAAGTACTCCAAAGCCATAGATAAAAGAGAGGCAGCTCCCTAAAGCATCACTTTTGCACAATGAGCCTAATTTTAAACATCATCAAATTGGAATAAACCAAGGAATTATGTAGGATGCACACAATTTTCTTTTTCTTTTTTTTTTTTCTTTTGAGACAGAGTCTCACTCTGTTGCCTGGGCTAGAGTGCCATGGCATCAGCCTGGCTCACAGCAACCTCAAACTCCTGGGCTTAAGTGATCCTCCTGCCTCAGCCTCCCAAGTAGCTGGGACTACAGGCATGTGCCACCATGCCTGGATAATTTTTTCTATATTTTTAGTTATCCAGATAACTTCTTTCTATTTTTAGTAAAGACAGGGTCTCGCTCTTGTTCAGGCTGGTCTCGAACTCCTGACTTCGAGTGATCCTCCCACCTTGGCCTCCCAGAGTGCTAGGATTACAGGCGTGAGTCACTGTGCCCGGCCACAATTTTCTTTTTCTTTCTTGACACAGAGTCTCACTCTGTTGCCCAGGCTGGAGTGAAGATTGTTTTGGTTTTTTTTTAATACAAAAAATAAAACCTCAAAAGTGTTTTTTGGCTCTGGAAGGCCTTGCCCTCCACAGGGCTTGTCAGGGAGAGGTCTGAGGACAGGCCAGAGAGACAGGCTGCCGAGAGCCATCACCTCTCCCAGGGTCCCCCCCATTTAACATCTTGGGAAACATTCCAGCTCATCTCAGCTGTGTGAATGGACAGATAAGGGGAAGATTTCTGTCTGCGTTTTAATTAGAAGGTTAAAGCAGCCTATAGAGGCCCAAGTGGTATGACAGGTCTCAGCACATGAGACTCGAGAAGTGAGTACATTTCTGAGGAATGGAGTCTGGATGCTTGATGAACCCTCTCCCCCAGGAGGCTTGGCAGAACCTCAAGGGGCCCCCACTGATGCATTCAATGTAGGGTCTCTGGAACCACGTGGACTCTGCTCACTGGGCCTGACACCCGAGCCTCTCACTCTTTGTACACCTTGGGGAAGGCAATTGGGTAGGAAGGAGAAGGCCCCTCTTGGAAGGCTTCCTTACCTCCCTCTTGAGCGGGGCCACATAGGTCCAGGAGTTGGTGGCAGGGTCATAGCGTTCCACAGCATTCAGGTCGTTGTGGTAGTCCCGGCCCGCCACAGCGTAGATGTACCTGCCCACAACACACACACACAGGTCGGCGTGCTCCTGCTGCAGGGACTGGATCTGGAACCAGCGGTTGTGCCGTGGGTCGTACCTTTGAGAGGACATGAGGATGGCACATCACTAATCATGCAGGAAGCCTGCACCGCAGGCCCGCACCTCCTGCTCCGGCCCTGTTTCCACTTCACCACCGCCTGGCCTGAACTCTCCCTTACCGCCCCCTCACCAGTGCACACTGACCCATAGCCAGGCCAGCAGGCTGCTACGGACCTGAGTGCAGGTGTAGTCACACATAGCCTAGAAGGCAGGGCTGGGAGTCCCCCGGGTTTCTGTCTGTGATGCTGGTCCCTTCCAGGTGTAACCTCTTGGGTGGCTTCTAGCCCACCCAACTGTCTACCCCAGGCTGTCCAACAGTTGTTCCTATAGCCACCTCCATCACACCTGTCTCACCTCATGGTCTTCGTGGCCCTGCCCCTACTCAGGAAGGCCCCAGGTGCAGCCTCTTGGGCAGATGGGTACATCAGCACCCTCCTCGCTGGCCTCCCAGCCTTGAGCTTCCCTAACCCTCTATCACGAGGGATCTGCTCAGGCATATACTGTGCACAGCATCCATCATGTCCTCAGCCTTGTCGACAGCAGCCAGGTGCCTGTCACCCCCCTCCACCTCCCCTGCCTTGCTGCAGCCCCCAGCTTTCCTGACTTCCCCAGTGTGGGCATCCTCTCCACTCCTCAAGGTCATCTGGCCTGAACTGCAGGCTCTGTGAAGGCAGGGTCTGGTGGGATTCCAGGGACACTGCCCCTGGCTCCAGGAGGAAAAGAGGCTGGGTTGGCTGCAACAGGCCACGAGGCTAGAGGACTCTGGCCTGGGCAAGGTGGGCTGCTGGGCTGAGGGCTGCCTGGGAGGGGCCTACAATGTTTAGCAGCCCAGGCCTGAGGCTGGGCAGGGCAGGAGGGATGCTGAGCCATCGTTGAGCCCAGTGCCCCTCAAGCACTGCTGATTCAGGGCCACCTCCTGCCTCTTTCACAGTAGATGCAGCTGTCCCAGGTCACAGCCCTGCCTTTTCCCTTCTTCCCAGCCAACTTTTGTAAAAAAACAAACAAACAAAACAAAACAAAACTGTCACCCATCGCTTTCTCCTGCTCTTGGAACCACAGTGCAAATGCCCCCCGACCCAGCCACCCCAGCCATCTCCACCTGGCTGCTCACGTGTGCTCAGTGCAGCCCTGCAACGCCTATCTCTCTGCTCTCACCCACACCACCAAAGCTGCTGTTCACGGACCAAAATCCAGATGCCTGCACCCCAGCACCCTTGGCCCTTCACAGCCCCTGTCCACACCTACCTTCCCAGACCTCCCAGCCCCAGGCTCTCCCCACTTCCTGGGGGCCCCCTCAGCCTCTTCCCTTTCTCTCCGTGTCCCAGGCCTGGCACTGTGCTGGGCCTATGAGGAGCATGCAGGCAGGTATGCTGCTGGGCAGACACAGACGATCATAGATCCATGAGGGGCCCTCTTTCCCTGACCCACTACCCAGGTACCAGCATCTGACCAGCTCCTGTTTCTGCAGCCTCCTTGCCCAATAGCCCACAGATAGTTACAGCTTCCTTCAGACAAGTGTTTTTATTTCTCCAAAGGAAGACCTACTCCAAAGAGAATAAGTCTAACTTCAACTGGCTCAGAAGAGAGTAAACAAAGTTGTCTTTGGCCTGTGCTGCCCTATGCTGGTCAGTGAAGAGATCAGTTTCATCGTTCACCCCAAAGCACAGTTGGCCTGCTCTGCAGCTGCTTCCTGCTGCCCTGCCACGTGGCCAGCACCTTCTACCCCCAAGCCAGGAACAGGGAACAGGAGCCTAAGGAGGTGGGGCACTGGGAGAGAGAACAGATCGGTGTGAATCAGGCTCTGCCTTGTCCAGCGGCATGTGCCTGGGCATCAGTTTTAATCTCTCAGTGTCCACTCAGCTCTCCACCTGTCAAATGAGGTGATATTACCTGCCTAGAAAAGCAATCAAGAGGGTTCATACAGGACAAGCATAAAAAGGGTGCTTGTTAACTTGTAGGGGTGGTTCCTAAAGGACCAGGGCTCATTTCTATATTCCTAGATCTCAGTGTAGCCCCTGGCTCAGGGTAGAGCGTGCACTGACTGCTGAATGAATTAAACAAAGGAGTAAGATTACCAGCAAGGAAACCAATCATTCACTCCACCAACATTCGCTGGCCCCCAACATGTGTTAGGCACAGTGCTTAGTTTGGGGCATCTATAGGGACCCTCAAGAGGCCAGGGCTCTGCCTCCCACTGCAGGATGGGAAACAGGCTAAACAGAACAAAGGAGTGCTTGACAGAATGGCAGTCATCAGGAAAGAAACAAAGTGAGGTAAGGAGATGAGTGACCAGCTGGCCAGTGGTGTCAGGGAAGGCAGAGCTTTTCCAGCGACCAGGAAGAGTCCTCTTGAGAAGGCAGCGTCTGAGAACTACGCGAGTGGGGGGCATGAGCCAGGGGACAGTCTGGCTGGGCACCAGCAGTCCAGGCTCAGGGCACAGCATTCACGGAGGCCCCATGAGCTGGCTGGAAATGGTCCCGTTCCTGCCTTTCCTGTGCTCTGTCCCTTTATGTACATGTCTCTTGTCCTGTGTTCAGTCCAGTCCTATTGTCAACGTCTGCAACTCCCACCAGAGTGAGACAAGACCCTTTAGGTGCTTACACTGGCTCCTTCTGGTCTCTTGTCCTCACAGTTTCAGAGCCTATGGCTTCACATTTAAGGAGACGCACACCACACACTGATATCACACCACACGTCAATAAATTAGACATAAGCAAAGTTTTGCTGATTTCTTATTTCCCTACTGTGTCCTGTGTCCCATCGCTTCCTCTTTATTGGATTAATTTTCCACTTTATCAGAATAAATCCTCCAGTAATATTTTTCTAATAAAAATAAGGTTTCCTTTTGAATATAAAGATTTTCTAAAATAAATAAGCTTTCCTTTTTGGGGAAAAGCACATGATTGGATGTTTGTGTCCCACAAAATTCTTATGTTGAAGCCCTAACCTCCTATGTGATGCTATCAGGCAGTGGGACCTTTGGGAGGTGACTAGGTCAAGAAGTGGAGCCCCCATGCTGAGGATTGGTCCCCTTATCAGAGGAAGAGACTAAAGATCTCTCCCTCCACCATGTGAGAACACAACAAGAAAAAGCCCTTACCAGGACTGAATGGGCCAGCACCATGACCTTGGACTTCCTCAAGCATTAGACTGTGAGCAATGAATGTTTGTTTAAGCTGCCCAGTCTCTGATATTTGTTACAGTAGCCTGGACAGACTAGGACAGTCACTTTAATCCAGATTTTGGATCATCCTGTTGTAAACTCAGAAGTGAACTCTAGAGTTGGTACAAAAATGTTCTGGGGGTTCATGAGAAATTTAGTGGACTGTTTTTTTTCTGTGTTTCCATAACTTAAACATTTCCATGACTAATTATGTTTTAAATGTCTATTAACATTTTTTACAATTTAAATATTAAATATTAACATTTAATATTTTAAAATATTAAATGTTAATTAAAAATATTAACAGCCATGGAAATGCCTAAGGAAGAAACCAAATTATGATTATAATTGTTGCAGTTTCTGTATAAATACTTTAAGACATAACCTGGTGAATACTAACTCCACAAAATGCAAACCCTAATTTACCACAAAATCTTGTCTTATTATATTCTGAAAGCCTCTAGGTTCTAAGGCTGGTGAATTATGAAAGGAGAAAGAGAAAGAACCAAACTCTTAGACCATGCAAATTAAGAGATTTATCTGGAAGTTTTGTGTCAACTGGGAGATTACTAAGACCTTCCCTCTGCAGAGATGACATAGCCCCAGGTTAACCAGCAGCAGGCAGTGGTCCTTCCTGCCACCTCCACCCTGTGCCTGCTCCCTTGAGGTGATCTTGCTAACTCCACCTGCCACTGTGATCCAACTCCCAGACTGGAGTTTGAGACTGCGGTTAGTGATTACAGGGGCTAATATTAGCATCCAGAGTTTGGTTTTGCTCTCACAGCACATGTTTACAAGGAAATTCAGATCACTACAGTGAGTGAAATGGAAACAAATAGCCCATAATGGGGGACTGAGTACAGGGGCAGGCAAAGTCCCCAGCTGTCACCCCCAAGGACATCACTATGGAAAAGCCCAGCCTCCCTGCTGGGCACACAGCCTCTTCCACCTTCTGCTGAAGGCCAGAGGCTGAAACACTCTGGAAAGATCTGTTTTACAAGTCTGTGGGTTATAGGGAGGTCTGGCATTGGCCCCTGGACTGGGAAACTGAGCCCCTAAAAAAGAAGCTTTGAGGCTTGGCCAGAGTGAAACCTAAACCTGTGTGGCCACACATTCTGGGGACAGCATTTGATCAGGGAGGAAATGAAGGTAGTTGCTTCCTCTTTTCTGAACCCTGTCCTTCCTCATATTTAATCACAACATATCATTGTCAACCTTTGAGCAGAAATGGCCAGTGGCATTTCATTTCAAGTGGCATGGCCAGGTCAGACCCCACTCCCACCCTTACCTTAGAAGACAGAAACAAGAACATAAACTCATCAGCCCTGATGGAAGTTGCTGGCAATCTCTTTCTGCAGCCCCATCTTCAGCATCCAGGATGGGGAGACTTCCCACACACACCAATGTACAGTGGGGGCAGTCCTTGGAAATCTAATATTAGCTGAGGCTATGGGGCTTGACCCACAGTCCCTTGCTCTGCCCAATGAAATGGATTTGTGGGATCACTGACTAACCGATTGATAGAGCTGGAAGCACCCTACAGACCTCAGCAGTCTACAAAACCTTCTCTCAGAAAACTGCCTCCTCCAGGGGAACTTGCGCCCAGCACACAGCTGACTCCAGGGCCAGGTGCGAGCCACCACAGGCTGGTGGTTAACAGAAAAGCAAAGCAGCCTGGCAGAGGGATGGAAGCTGAAACAACAGGTGTCAAAGCTCAGAGAGGATAAGATGGAGGGATCAGCTACCCTGGCAGGCACTCTCCAGCTCCTAGGTCCTCTCCTTCTGGGCCCTGACTGCCCGCCCTGCTACGAGCTCCTCTCCTCTGCACAATGCACTCAGAACACAGCCCCTCCCCAACATGGCCACATGGGCAGGGGTCCAGGTGAGAGGGTTTCTGTGAAGGAGCAGGGACACACAGGAAAGTAGGCCATCCAGGTGTCCCTTTCCCTTAACTCACTGCAGTCCACACTCTGACTTCACCTGGACTTCGTTCCATAACACAGGTGTACCCCTGACAAGCCATGACGTTCATGTGAAAGGCTGAGAGACAAGCAGGTCTTCGGTGATGCAACCTTACGTGACATATCCCTGACCAACCCCTTAGCCAACAACTCCCACACCCCAGTATCACCTGCAGGCAAAGGTACCAACAAGCACCCTGACTTACCTCCAGCATCGGGACTCGGCTCGGAATCCTTGGACATTGTTGTCTCCTCCAATCAAGTACACGAAGTTGTTGAGCACTGCGATGCCCTGGTTGGACATGCGGGGGGCCAAGGAGGCAGTGAAGTGCTTCCACTCTCCCAGCAGGGGGTTTAGGTACTTGGCCTGGTCACTGAGGACAGTGGATGGTGTGGAATGAATGCCCCCAAAGCCCACGACACACTGGAAGTCCGACCGCAGCTCCGTATGTGGGCCCTGGAGACTGGGCTGCAGGCTCTCATTACGGTGGTACATGAGGGCACTGGCCACTGTGTCCCTCAGTGGGCTGGGGTCCAGCTTGTCATGCAGCCGCTGGAGAACCTCAGCCTCCATCAGGGGAAACCGCACTGTCTCGAGGAGCTTGGGGGGCTCCTGTAGTGAGATCTGGTCGGCCTGCACCTGCTCTAGGCTGTAATGGTAGAGAAGGGCTCCCTCGTACACCTCAGACTCACACGAGACCTCCAGGCGATTGCTGCTGAGGAGGGAGTAGACCTTCTCCAGCGGAAGCTGGCGGTACTTGTCAGTCCGCGAGAAGGCCACAAAATTTTTGAGGATGTAGGTGTCCAGCTGCTCAGTCAAGCGGCTCAAGTCAAACAGCTCTGCCAGCCGGTAGACGTCGAGGATGTTCTCCTCATCCACCCAGGACATGAGGAAATCACAGCAGAAGTGGATAATTTCTGGGATCTGCAGAGAAAACGACACCTATTTAAGGCTGGGCTGGTGAAGAGCATCTGGGGGTGGGAGACAGGATGGCAGCAGAAATACGTCCACCCGGAGGGGAAAGCAGACAGAAGCCCTCAACTGTCCCCAACCTTTCCTGACACACTGCAGACAGCTAGAACTTACTGCAGACTGGGTTTGGAAACATACCAACTGGGAGACATGTGGTAGTTCTCAACCTCTCTGAGCATCAGTTTCCTCACCTATAAAGCAGGGATGGTTAAAATGGACAGGAACACAATGAAACCGAGACCATGCATAGGCGCTCTCTGGCACAGAGCAGACCCTTGATGCATGTCAATTCTCTTTTAGATCAAAAGTACTGGCTCTCCAGAGAAATAGGATGTAGCAAACACGGTCCCTTTGTCAGATGCCCTGGTTTGGAAGGGATCACAGACTATCCCCGCATCCCCCCCAGGGCTCCCCAAAAGAGTCTGCCTCTCCAACAGTGCTGGGGCTGAAAACATACCTAGCTTTCGCCTCCTGCCAGAACTCCCACCTGGTTCTCCAGGAGCACCAGGGCTGCTGGCAGGGCTCTCCAGACACTTGCCTAGTACACATCTGGGAAGCTGACTCGGAATTCTTGCAAAGCAAGTAGGCCACCCTGAGGCCTCCGCCTGGGTCAAGACCCACTAGACTCCAGTGAGTGCAAGGGCCAGGTGGCCACATTACCCCTTCCCCAACCCTGGGGAGGCACACAGGGTGGAAGGAGGGCAAGAGAGAGGACAGGCTTAGGTGTGAGGAAGCTGGGAATGAGGGCACGCTGTGATCAGACAACCAAAGCATGGCAAGGTAGGAGATAAAGGGAAGGGCCCTGGGGAAAACTGCCTGGGATAACAAACCAGGTGTTGATAAATTCTTTAAGGAAGCAGGATTTTAGAGTTTCTCTAGGGTCCCCAGTGTCCGTGTCACAGTCATCTGCAAGATTTTCCCAGCAGGCTTGAACCCAAACTGGGGCCTTGAACATTTCCAGGCACTGATAAAGGTATCTAGGTTGTCGCCCACCCAGAACACTGAAAGAAACCAGCCCCACCCTGAGCCAAGTTCCTTAAACCTTGACCCCTCATCTCTTTTCTCCTGTTGCCTGTTGTGAGGATACATTGCAGCACTCTGTATATAAGTTTCCCTAATACATGCTTTGGACTGACCACTGACCACTGACCACTGTGGCTTCTTTCTTTGGAATCCCAACCAGCCCATTTCAGAACAGTTTGGGGCACTCCCTTGTGGGAACACCCCTGCCACTGATTTTGGGGGCAATTCCAGCCATGGGTTCAATGGGACAAAATGGTTTCTCTAAAAATAGGAACGCCTGACTTTTCCAGGATCAGCAAATTAATCCCATACAGAGAGTAATTTTGTTGATTGATACTTGAAGTTTATCATAACATTAATAAAAATTTTATTTTGAGACAGAGTCTTGCTCTGTTGCCCTGGGTAGAGTATAGTGGTGTCATCATAGCTCACTGTAACCTTAAACTCCTGGCTTCAAGTGATTTTCCTGCCTCAGCCTCCCAAGTAGCTGGGACTACAGGTGTCACCACCACGCCTGGCTAATTTTTCTATTTTTAGTAGAGATGGGGTCTTGGTCTTGCTCAGGCTGGTCTCCAACTCCTGAGCTCAAGCGATCTTCCTGCCTTGACCTCCCAGAGTGCTAGGATTACAGGTGTGAGCCACCTCGCCCAGCCAAAAAAAAAAAAAAAATGTTTTTAACTCAAAAGACATCTAGGTTGTCAGGTGATGGACATCAGCTTGCCAGGTGATGTCATAAGGACTAAAGGGACATCTGCCAACTGTTGGGCAGGTATGTGCCTATACAAGATGTCCTTGGGGTGCTTTGTTAGGCCCTGAACATCTTCACTTGACCTTCCAATTTATCTCTTTCTAGGCACTTCTGCTTTGTCTCTTCTTCTAAAAATGCTACTTCTGGTTTGTCATGGCCCAGGGTTCTGAAGACCAGGCTGTGGACTGAATGTGAGTGCAAACAGCCCTGAGTGAGCCTGAGCAGCAGCTCCTTGAGAGGACCCTGCTGCCTCACTTTCCCACTCTGTTCTCAGAGCAGCAGCCCCTCTTCCCAGTGCAGTTTCACAGGGGAACCAGCCTATGCCTGGCCTGGGAAGGAGCCCTATGAGAGGCTCAGAGAAGGGAATATGTTTGCTTCAGGTGACCCAACGGGATGGGCTTGCTGGGATTCAGACCCAGGCCTCTGGGGACACCATGAAGAGTCTGATCCCAGGCCAAGTACAGGGCATAGCACATGGAGCCTGAGCCACCAGCTATCACTAGCTCTGTGAACAAACAAGACTTGGTAGGCCTATGAACTCAACACTTATGCTGAGTAAAACCTGCTTTAAAACGGTACTGCATGGCCGGGCGCGGTGGCTCACGCCTGTAATCCTAGCACTCTGGGAGGTCAAGGCGGGCAGATTCCTCGAGGTCAGGAGTTCAAAACCAGCCTGAGCAAGACCGAGACCCTGTCTCTACTATAAATAGAAAGAAATTAATTGGCCAACTAATATATATAGAAAAACTTAGCCGGGCATGGTGGTGCATGCCTGTAGTCCCAGCTACTTGGGAGGCTGAGGCAGCAGGATTGCTTGAGTCCAGGAGTTTGAGGTTGCTGTGAGCTAGGCTAACGCCACGGCACTCACTCTAGCCTGGGCAACAAAGCGAGACTCTGTCTCAAAAAAACAAAAAACAAACAAACAACAACAACAACAAAAACGGTACTGCAGAGAAGCCCATTATGTTAAACAAAGGGGGCTGCGGCCTCTGAGGCACTGGGGAGATGGCCCGGGACTCAGAAGCACCGGCCAAAACCCGTGCGAAGAGACTGCAGGTCTCCATGCTGACTGGGGAGAGAGGGAAAACACTGTTTGGGAAGATGATTTGGTGTCAGTGTGCACGATCAATGCAGGGAGGAGGCGAAAGCAGAAACAGGAGGTAGAGATGGCTGCAAGAAATGTCGGCAAGGATGCCTTGTCCAAACTTGGATATAGGGAATGAACAATGTAGAAGGACTCAAGAAGCCCCCTAGGTTGAGCCCAGGGTGCTGACAGGATGGTCACAGGGCAGGACCTCCAGACGCCCTGGAACAGATTGGATTTCCTATGACATGAGTTTTTTTCTAATTGCCCCATACATGCTTTCATATGAAGAAAGGTCAGAATGATGAACTCAGCATAGCGTTTTGTTTCACTTTAAAAAAATGTAGGAAGAAGTGACTCTCAATCCAGACCAGGCCTCTGATGATAGCTCAAAGGCACCTGCAGGGCCACCCCTGTGTAACTGTACTCATACCACTGAGATTCAATAGAATCTCCCAAATGTAATTCACACTATCACAGCCTCAGAAAACTTTTTCAATTCTACAGAAAACAAGTATTTAAAGTTCAGTAACAGAAAGGAAAATGGTTTTCAAGAGATATTAATACAAGTGGCCAAGCACAGAGACAGGCAGAAGGGGCCTTGGCAACAATGCTGGGGACGCTCAGCATGGCCAGACCCCAGAGCAAACGGGACATCCCACGTATGGCCTTGGGGTTGGCCCAACTGCTTATGTGCAGGATCCTTTCAATGGCAGGGAGTTAGGCTGAGGAAAGAAAGCAGCAAATGAGCAGAGGGCAAAGGTAGAAGAGAAGCCTGGGCAAGGGGCATCTGGAGCAGCTGTGCTTGAGCTCCCAGGCAATACCCCGAGCCTCCTCCCTGCTATGTGGCCTCTTTTACCACTCAGTGACTCAGCTTCCAGCCAAAATGCCAGTGCCCTGCAGGCATCCCAAGCATCATGAGGAACCCCATGTGGGTATAGGTCTACCTTGCTCAATGAGGTGAGCCTCACCTGAAGCTGGCAGGCAGCCACCAGTGTCTCCTGCACATTGCTCAGGCTGAGCTCTAGCTCGGAGGTGTATATGAAATGCAGGATTTGGCACATGGCGTTGTAGGACACACCGTGGATCAGGACCTCTTCCTGCTCCATCTCCTTCAATCCCCCAGCAAACATTCCTCTGCAAAGTGAAGAGACAAGAAAATGGAGTCATATCAACAAGGACATGAGCCAAGGCCACAGAGAGCAAGCGTGTCCAGAGTGGGACCTAAGCATGGGTGCAGGGGCTGGCATGGGGTAGGCTGACCTGTGCTGTGCTGAGTGAATACCCTGCACATAGGAGCTGTTCTCCTTGGATCCTGACCAAGTTTGGGCAGCTATCCTGGGAATCACCCTGTCTACTTTTTCATGGGCCCCACAGGGTCCCAGGTGAGCCTCAGGAGGGCAGACCCACCTCCAACATTTGCTTTCTGCTGTGCCCATTAGTGCAGTTCCTGAATCAGAGCAGCAGCAACTCCAAAGCACATTTCACAGGAATAAATTAATTAATGGGAAACATCATTCCATTCAACATGTATTTATTCAGCTCCTACCGAATGCCAAATACCATTCAAAGAGCAGAAAGAGTAACAGTGAAGTAAACTGGTAAGATTTCTCTGTGTGAGTTTAATGCTAGCAAAGGAAGACAGACAATAAGAAAGAAAAATTGAAAAAAGGAAATAAGGTATTTCAGATGGTGGATATTCCAGGAAGGAACTCAACAGTCACTGGCAGGGATAGGGGTGGGAGGGTCGATGAGAAGGGGCGGGGACAGCCCCCCTCCCAGGGACTGAGACCTAAGGATGAGGCTGAGAGCCACGCATGGCCAGCTAGGGGAGGGCATCCCAGGTGGAAGAGACAGATGCACAAGTCCCGGGGCAAGGAAGAGCTTGGCATGCAAGGCAGCCAAGATGAGAAGGAAGTAAGCAGGACAGAAGAAAAGGCCAAGCAGGCCCTGGGGCCAGGTCCTGCTACCTCTAGAGCAGGTGCGGTCCGGACTGAAATCTGAGCATTATGAAATGCTGCTTTGAGGAATTCACACAGAGAGAGTGATATGTGCTGCCTAGCTTTCAGACCCAGGTGCTGGAGGAGGGGTCCCTGGAAGATGACCAGTTAGGCTAGAGCTTTCTTTGAGCCTGGAGGCCAGGAGTGACCCTAGCCTCGGGAGGTCAGTGTGGCTGGAGAGCACCAGTTGGGACAACCCTGGGGCACAGTGCAGAGAACCTGCCGACATGGCTGGGTGTGGTGGCTTACATCTGTAATCCTAGCACTCTGGGAGGCCAAGGCGGAGGATTGCTTGGGCTCAGTAGTTTGAGACCAGCCTGAGGAAGAGTGAGACCCTGTCTCTACTAAAGATAGAAAAAATTAAGCTGGGTATGGTGTCATGCACCTGTAGTCCCCAGCTACTTGGGAGGCTGAGGCAGGGGGATCACTTGAGCCCAGGAGTTTGAGGTTGCTGTGAGCTAGGCTGACGCCACAGCCTTCTAGCCAAAGCAAAAAATAAGAACCTGCTGAAAGTCACGCCTGTAATCCTAGCACTCTGGGAGGCCAAGGCGGGCGGACTGCTCGAGGTCAGGAGTTCGAAACCAGCCTGAGTGAGACCCTGTCTCTACTAAAAATAAAAAGAAATTAATTGATCAACTAAAAATATATATACAAAAAATTAGCCGGGCATGGTGGCGCATGCCTGTAGTCCCAGCTACTCGGGAGGCTGAGGCATAAGCCCAGGAGATTGAGGTTGCTGTGAGCTAGGCTGATGCCACAGCACTCACTCTAGCCTGGGCAACAAAGTGAGACTCTGTCTCAAAAAAAAAAAAAAAAAAAAAGAACCTGCTGACAGACCGACACTAGCAGGGCCTGGGAGGATTCTGGCTCTCTGCTGGGTGGAGCTGTTATGCAGATAGGGACTTTCTACTAATGGGGGGAACCTGGGAGGAACAGGATAGTCATGAGTCCTCTCCTGGTACAGTTGGTACGGTTGGTGTGAGACGTCTGTGGGACATCCAAGTAGAGATGCTGATGAGGTATTCGGAGGTAAGAGGCTGGAGGCTGGAGCTAAAAATTTAACACATTGACTGCTATGTGAGTTGTATTTAACATATGCTAGTTTTGAGTCTGGGGCCTTGTGAAGCATATATAACTCACATGTCCCTTTACCTATTGACAATTTAGTTCTAAAAACGTGGATTAAATGAATAGAAGTCAATCAATTTCATTTTTCTGTTTATGTTTACCTTTAAATTATACTTAAGCCTGACAAGTCAAGAAAAACACTTTACCCTTATGAACTATTAAAGTTTTCACATTACTAATTTTCAAGTTTTTATATTACTTTTTATGGATGATGTAACAAATTTTTAATTAAATTAGAAAGGATTGTTTTGTTTTCAAAGTTTTTATTCTATTTTCATAATAAAACACTATGGTCCCAGGAAAAATTTTTTTTCTAGTGTGGCAGTACATGTGTTAAATATGTCAGCAACACTTAGATGATAAGTGTGGCTATTTTCACATTTTATTTATTTTTTGATTAAGTAATAAATAAACACAGCACTAGATTTAAAATATATAGAAGGTGGTGGTCAAAGTCCCCTCCTCTCTAATCCCAGCCATCAGTCAGTTCCCCTCCCCAGGGCAGCACTACCCCAGGGCAGTCATATTCTGCATCTTACGTTGTTTTTACTTAAGGATATGGCTTAGAAACTGATCCATGCCAATGTACACAGGGCTGCCTCATTCTTTGTAAAGGCTGCACTCATATTTTTTTTTGTTTTAAGAGACAGGGTTTCACTCTGTTGCCCAGACTGGAGTGCAGTGGCATGATCACAGCTCACTGTAACCTCCAACTCCTAGGCCCAAGCAATCCTCTGGGCTCAAGTGATCCTCCCACTTCAGCCTCCAGAGTAGCTCAGCCTACAGGCATGCGCCACCATGCCCAGCTAATTTTTTCTATATATATCAGTTGGCCAATTAATTTCTTTCTATTTATAGTAGAGACGGGGGTCTTGGTCTTGCTCAGGCTGGTTTCGAACTCCTGACCTTGAGCCTGGCCAAACATAGATGTTTAATTTTTTATTGTATGCTTACTACTTTTCAATAATTCAGAAATTACATCAAGGGGCGGAGGGGGAGGAAAGGCAACACACATAACCTAAACATTTGTACCCCCATAATATGCTGAAATAAAAAAATAATAAAAAATAGAAATTACATCAAAATAAAAACTTTAAAGAGGAAAAATTTTAAGAAGATATTTACACCTCATACCCATTAGGATGGCTACTATTAAAAAAACAGAAACTAACAAGTGTTGGTGAGGATGTGGAGAAACTATAACCCTTGTGTGCTGTTGGTAGGAATGTAAAATGGTGCAATTACTATGGTGGTTCCTCAAAAATTAAAAATAGAATTACTATCTGATTCAGCATTCCAACCTCAGGGTATACAACCAAAAGAATTTGAAAGCAGAGTCTCAAAGAGATATTTGTACACCCATGTGTATAGCAGCATTATTCACAATAGCCAAGAGGCAGAAGCAACTTAAGTGTCCATCAATGGATAGACAAAATATGGTGTACCTCCACAACAACAAAAATAAACAAATAGGATCTGATCAAATTAAAAAGCTTCTGCACAGCCAAGGAAACTATCATTAGAGCCAATAGACAACCTACAGAATGGGAGAAAATATTTGCTCTTTACACATCTGATAAAGGTCTAATAACAAGAATCTATCTAGAACTTAAAAGAATCAATAAGAAAAAAAAATCAAACAACCTCATCAATAAATGGGCAATGAAAATGAACAGAATCTTTTCCAAAAGAAGATAGAATAATAGCCAGCAAACATATTAAAAAATGCTCAACATCTCTAATCATTAGAGAAATGCAAATCAAAACCACAATGAGGCTGGGCGTGGTGGCTCACGCCTGTAATCCTAGCTCTCTGGGAGGCCGAGGCGGGCCGATTACTCGAGGTCAGGAGTTCAAAACCAGACTGAGCAAGAGCGAGACCCCGTCTCTACTATAAATAGAAAGAAATTAATTGGCTAACTAATATATATATATAAAATTAGCCAGGCATGGTGGCGCATGCCTGTAGTCCCAGCTACTTGGGAGGCTGAGGCAGAAGAATTGCTTGAGCCAGGAGATTGAGGTTGCTGTGAGCTAGGCTGACGCCATGGCACTCACTCTAGCCTAGGCAACAAAAGCGAGACTCTGTCTCAAAAGAGATATCACTTAACCCCAGTGAGATTGGCCTCTATCAAAAAAATCCCTAAACGACAAATGCTGGCGAGGATGTGGAGAGACAGTAACACTCTTACACTGCTGGTGGGACTGCAAATTAGTGCAACCTCTGTGGAAAAGAATTTGGAAATACCTCAAAAAGCTAAAAATAGAAATACCATTCGATCCAGCATTATTAGGCATCTACCCAAAAGAGCATAAGACATTCTATAATAAAGACATCTGCACCCGAATGTTTATGGCAGCACAATTCACTATTGCAAGGACATGGAAACAACCCAAGTGTCCATTAATTCATAAGTGGATTATTAAAATTTGGTATATGTATACAATGGAATATTACTCAATTATAAGAAACGACAGTGATCTAGAACCACTTATATTTTCCTGGTTTGAGCTTGAGCCCATTATCTGAAGTGAGGTATCACAAGAATAGAAGAACAGGCTCCACATGTACTTGCCATCAAATTGGTACTGACTGATAAACACTATGGTGCTTAAATGGTGGTGGTGTTCTCCAGGGATTAGCAGGTTGGGGGGGGTAGACTCACAACTGAGAGATGAGGTGAACACTGTGGAGGGGAAGGGCATACCTCTAACCCTTGCTGGGGGGGGGCAAAGATATAAAATGTAACCAAAATGTTTGTACTCTCATATTTTCCTGAAATAAAAAAATTTTTTTAAATATGGTGTTTCCATACAATGGAATACTATTTAGCCTTAAAAATGAAGTAAATGTCACATGCTACACCATGGATGAACCCTAAAGATATTATGCTAAGTGAAATAAGCCAGTCACAAAAGGACAAATGATGCATGATTCTACTTAAGAGGTACCTAGAGTGGTCAAATTTATAGAGACAGAAAGTAGAATGGTGGTTGCTGGGGGTTCCC